GATTGTACGAGCAACAAACTGCATTAAATTGAAGAAAAATTAACGTAGCACACAGGCAGTAATGCTAGTGTACTTACTGCTAAAAGGCATAGTCGAAGGTGCAGTCAAAAAAAGAAAGATGAGAATGTCAACTGTCATGGTGGTGGTTGTTGTTGCTGAATCGTGTTTTCGTTAAAAGTGAAATTGTTTTCATGTTCACTTTTTTTTCAAGTGTAAAATAAAACATATAAGAGAGGAAGAAATGAGGAAAATAACGATGAAACAAGGCGAAATGATGAGAACTTAACAATGGCAATTGAGAAATACGTCATTCGGACAATAAAATTTGGAAATTCCGGAAAGCAATATGTCATTTGCACAATAACATTTGAGAGTTGTGGAAAACAATATGAACCATAGAAACAATTGTTAACCATCAAGAAAGTGTTCAATGACACACAAACTATTGAGACTATTCTTAACTATGAACAAAGTGTCGAATGACACATAGCACTTGAAACTGTGACTAATCATCAACAAAGTGTTGAATGATATCAAACTCTGCATATTTGGAATGTTCACTCATGCTCGACCATCGACAAAATGTCAAATGTTATTTTCTGCCTCATATACGGGATGTTTTCTTGCGAGAAATCGAATGGTGGAAAGTGACCTTTCGCTAACAAAGATGCAAAACCTAACATAAAAACACCACAACTGCAACCGTCATGTTGGACAGGCACCCCATCAAGCGATGTCTCGAAAGGTGTCGCAACCTCGTCGACCTGATATCTTTCATGAAGATTCTGACGTCTGAACTTCATTCTAAAAAATGCGGTCGCCACGAGGGAAAGAGTCTAATAGTTGGAATTCACACTCGCAACCGTCTATTCTAACACATGCCAAAGCCCAGTGGTCTCCAAACTTCAAAGGGATAAGTACAAATTTATAATCAAAAATATTTCTTCCCCTAACCCACTTCATTCCCTCACAGTAAGCAATTTCTTTGGACGTCGCGGATGCCATCCTGACATAGAAAAAAGAATCTAGAATATACACAGATGGAATGTCTTTCGGACTTTCGTCTTTAATCTGTCCTCTAGACATCAAATTCTCTCTGGCATTATCATTGTCGATCTGGATTGCCAGCAGATACAAATTTACGGCTTCGTCATTCAACCATCCTCCTGCTTCAATAATGAGCATGATGTCTTTCTTTTCCACCTTCCAGTCACCCTTGTAAACAACAATGTCGTATTCTTCGTTTTCTTCACCGGTCCTCACAATCCTTTCAACATACTGCATCTCGACCTCAGTGAGGGGTTGCGTTGCTAGAAGAATCTTGAACGACTCGCCAGACACTGCATACAAACACACAGGTAAATAACAACCGTATGTCTAAGACTTCCATACAAGTATTGCCTTTCTGAAAATAGATATTAGAAGCGGACACGAAGTTCATAACGGTGCTTGTTTGCCAACTTCGTTGTCGCTGTCGCTTTCCATAACAGATACAGTGCAAACTTCACGGTGCAATTTCTTCCCTTGTTTCGTCCCTATTCCCACAACTTTAAACATCCTTAGAGCAGTTGGCCTCACAAAGGGGATCGTCACATGTTGCGCTCGTCTTTTAACTGTTTTGGGTAACAACGGCAGCATTGACAAGGGTTGCAAACCACGACGTATAATTTTCTTATCACTGTTCCTTTGCGAGTGCACGCGAGGAGCTTTCCACAGTCCTTTTACGGAGGTCTGCTCGTTCATCAATGTAGAGAGCACAATCATCACCGATAGTAACGAGTAATATGAGTAACGATCATTTTGATATCATTACAAATGCGCTAAAACAACATGAATGTAAATGAATATTAATAGCACTAAAGTATTGTGAGTCAAACTATTAAAAGTCGATCGTGTGCTTCATTTACCGATTCGGATGCACTATAAGGCACACTACATATATGCAAATAAACATGGAACAGTTCCAATGCACAGCAACATGCAAAACCGGAAAATCATTTCTCGTTCTAGGTACAATATTACACATATATTAACTTCGTAAGGTAAGTGTTCACCTCGGCGACTAGCTGCGGTTTTCCCTTGCACCGTCTTCTTTTGCATCTTCGAATTGTCTTGATGTGAAAGGGGAGTCTTCGATGTTTATCACTTTGACAGATGGGCTGAACTGCTGCACAGGAGTTCGAAGTGCACTTTCTCGTCCTTCCTCCACAGGTGTCTGTTGCTCTGGAGTAGTCAGTACACTATGTCTTTCATCCTCTTCGATGTCCGGCACTTGAATTGCTTCTTTCGCAACAAGTCCCTCAAGAGTGTCGTTCTTCCCAGCAGTATCGAATACAATAGGTGAATCCTGAGACCCTCCAGTACCAGTATGGAAGTCGCTGCCAGGGATGTCTTCATCAAATGGACTGTTAGGCTCGCCGCCCGGTTCCATCTCCTCTGCAAGCATAGCTTCCTCCTGGTAGCCTGTTACAGTACCCGCCTCTTGAGACCCTCGTTGTGCCTTCTCCTCTGATATCGGACTTTGAAATTCTGCAGGAATCTCTAAGTCGCCTCTGAGTGTCTCTTCATCAAGTGGAGTGTGAGCCTCGAGTTGCTGTTCCGTTTCTGCCAGATACATGGTTTCATCCAATGGTGCCCTGAGCCGCCCTTGGCTTCCCAACCCATATGGCAAAATATCCATAGACATCCACATTTGGCCTTGTGGGCTACCAATATTGCCTTTCTCGCCAACGGGGAAGACACTTGTGCCACTGCCATCACACCATTCATTATCTGTCACTGTGACAGCTGTGACTGTTGTGGTGACACTTTGCCCACCTTCATATCCTTTGTCAACCTGTTCCACTGCAGTAGACAGCTTGACCTGCGGCAAACCACGAATGTCGATGTGCCCTCCTACACCACTGGCGCTTCTCTCATGGTGATGATGGGCTTGCCCTTCTGATGTGCCTGTTGTTGGCTGACTATACCCTGGCGCTTCAGATGTTCCTCCACCCTCACCACTCCCTCCCTTATCACCTCCCTTATCACATCCTCCCTCGTCACCTCCGCCCTCGTCACCACTTGGGTGTTCACCTCCCTCTCCACTCGCTCCACCGCTAGGGTCTTGTCCCCTTTTCCCACCGGTCTCGTCGCCCTCATCAATGCGCCAGTTATATCCAAATGCCGGACTTGTTTGTCTGTCATAAAATTCTTCCAAGTACTCAAGTCTTCGCAATGCCTTGAGCTCCTGAAAAACCTCGTTCGTCCTTATGTCCACTCTCGATGGATAAACATTTGGATTGAGTCGCGCAAGCCACAGCCGGATCTGATTTTCTGCATGTGCATAAAATCGTGATTGCGCCATACGCCGGTGGGAGCAAAATTGTCACTGCCCATCTTCTTTGATTGCCATTTAGGACGCTCTCAATCACTAATTATATTCTCGCTATCGTTCCCCTCTTGAGAACCTTCCTCTTCCTCTTCTCTTCCCTCTGTGAACCTTCGCCACTGCTCCCCTCTCCCGGATAACCGAAATACAAAGGCTGCACACCACGGTGCACAGCACCATACATAGGTTCGGCACACATGCTTGATGTACGCACAATGTCATGTAACACGGACAGCGGCTCTTTCACTCTAACCGAACGGAATTTCTTCGGAGTCGACGGCGGAGCCTGAGCATGAGCCGGACCCTTGGCAGCGATTTGTCCCGCTCGAGGGACCACCGGCGTGGATATGAGAGCGTGTTGTCTCTCTTCCCGGACGGCGGGCGTGGTCACTAATGGCTGCCGAATCGTTATGGCACCCACAGTCGGACGCGCCGATGACATAACACTTTTCGGTTCCGTAATAGTGTCTTCTTTGTGGGCCACCGGGCGATGGCCCTCCACCGAATTCGTGTCAAAGAACACGAGAACTTGGCGGAGGTCAGGTAACCGGAGTCGGCTATCCGGATCAGGATTGAAAACATCCACAAGTGACTTACCATATCCCTTGTGGTTTCTCCACATGAGAACAACATGGTTCGTCTCTGCAACTATGTGACCTTTGTCGTTGAGTTGCATAGTTAACTCGAAAGTGGCGAGCTGATCACCCCTCCCTGCCCAAAATTGAATACCACCTATCGGTCTAATATCTTCTCTGAACACCACGTACAACATCAAACCACTTCCAGTCTGCCCCGCCTCGCCCACCCAGTCCAACATCCAGAATTTATCTTTGTAGTCTATGACGGGAACTTTATCTGCTTGTCCATGCACAGACCTCTCCCCCGAACCTGCCTGCCGCACTGTATCTTGTGTGCGGGTCCGCTGACCACCACTAGACCCTCGACCACTCAGACCACCACCAGACCCTTGACCACGGCCACCAGACCCTTGACCGCTCCCCACAGTCCGGGCATGCTGTTCGTCAGCAGGTCCAATTCATTCCTGGACACGTAGACCACAACGTCAGTTAAGGTCTCATCCCAGGTCGAGCACGCGACGCAAAGGACTCTACAGCAAAAGCACTTCCCAAGACGCAGTCTAACGAAACAATACGAAACTGTTCGAGGCAACAACCCGGGAGAGCGTAAGGGGTATGAGTCGGTGAAATCGGAATGGTTTGCACAGGCCAGCGACTCGTGTTTCAGCGAACGGGGTCATGTGCACGGTGAAGTAGTCACGACGTTACAGTCCAAAACATTGTAGCGACGGTTAAACAGCAGCGTGGCACTCAAGTGACAGCACTGAACTGAACATAGCACATCAGCGGGCACAGGAATTAAACTCCCGAACTCACACATATTTGCGAATTTGTAGTCGTCCGCCCAAGGGCAGTCCTCGACCATTTTCTCCCAAACGTACTCTTGCCACAAGTCGATGGGAGTGGTGTAAAACGAAACGACTGTCATCCACGGATCACTCTCGAAATCGTTTCTCGTCGCATCGTCAATGACAGTGAACTCTCGACACCCGGAGACACGCAGCGAGCATGGGGGGAAAGGGTATGCAATGCGTTCGCGCCAAAGTCCCGGGGTCATCCACTCCGAGATTGCCATCGCGATCGGCAAACGCCCTGCACGCCAAATTGAAAAAATCAGCAAATGCACACACACAACCCGCATTTATTTGTCGTGTTCAACACAATGAATGAGTTTCGGCCCGCAGCTCATCGTCGTGTTGAGCTGCGGGGTGGGAAAGTAAACCACAACTGTCCGACGGTTTCAACACGACGATGCCCCGCAGCTAATCTTCGTGTCCAACACGATAATGAACGATTTTTGCCCCGCCCCGAAGCTCATTGTCTTGTTCAACACGAAGACAGATACCTGTTGGCAGGTGATCATCGTGTCGAGCACGACAATGACATGGGCGACCTGTAGGGCAAGCGCAGGACTGCCCTACGGGTGATCGTCGTGTTCAACACGACGATCACCCGCAGGGCAGTCTTGCGCTCGCCCTCAATGAACCCCGCCCCGCCGTTCATCATCGTGTTCAACACGACGATCACCTGTCGTGCTTGGCAGGTGATCATCGTGTCGAACACGACAATGACCTTGGCGAGCGCAGGACTGCCCGACGGGTGATCATAGTGTTCGACACGACGATCACCCGTAGGGCAGTCCTGCGCTCGTCCATATGAAACCTGCCCCGCCGTCCATCATCGTGTTCAACACGACGATCACCTGTGGTGCTTCGCATGTGATCGTCGTGTTCAACACGACAATGAACGGCGAACACAACTTGAAAGTGCCACATGGCGAGCCCTCGTTGAATCTCACGGATCTGGGCAGATCCTCACCGTCCGTACTTTGTCCTTTGCTTCGTGCTCGTCGGTGCAAAGTCTCGCTCTCGCTCGCTCCCGCTCGCTGACCCTGCTCCAACGGTCTGCTCCAAAGGCAAGGTTTGGTCCTGCTCCGACGTGTGCTTCGACTGTGCCACCACACCAGCTATGAGAAACAAACATGCATGCATGAGAAACATGCACGACGCCCGCATGCACGACGCCCGCGTATGCAACAGGGGTGCACACGAGGTCGTGACGTAAGCGCCCTGCGCTGAAGGCAAAGCAGCACGGATATCGCCCTGCGCTGAAAACACCCTGCGTGAAAGTCGGAGAGGATGAAATGAGAAGTGCGGGAGGGACCCGCAGCTCTTTTTATACTCTGCGGCGTGTCCTTCCACGCGCTCCGTCGGTGGTCCGATCGTGTCGAACCGACGGTGCTGATGACCCTGCACCAGAAAATCGGTACCGGACCGTTGACCCTCCTCCGGAAAATGTCCCCTCCCGCGCTATGTGGACTGTCATATCTGAGCGACTGACGGTGTCGATTGAGCGTTTCGGTCGACCAGCGGGGAGTAGGCTAACTGGTTTGGGACCTTCCCCCACGTCAAAATTGGGCCGCCGCGTTTCGGTCCCCAGACGAGAAGTAGGCCAACTGATGTCGATAGCTTCATTTCCTGAGGGGGGGTACTTCGACTTGTGTTTTTGGAGCGCGCGCGGTTTTTGCGCGGTGCGGCGGGCCGAGCTGCTGCAAGCAGGGCAAGCAGACCTGCTACTGCGCAAATCGGGGATCTGGTTGACTCGACCGTGGTCCTTTGCCCAGGTAATCATCCCGCCACATCTCTCTCTCTGAAGATTGTGCTGCAAACCGTTGATGTTTATAAATCGACGGTCACGATCACTCTGTCGTTGTGTTGCGTCTTGGTGACGTCAACATTTAGCATGTCCGTGGGTTGAAATGGTCCCTGTATCTCCTTCTGCACATTGTGAGCGTCGTGTCCAACACGACAACCAAACCTAATGGAGTGCTTTTTGCTGTGCCCTGGTCATCTGTTGCGGCCTGGTCATCGGATCCAACACGACAACCAAACCCCGTGGAGTGCTTTTGATGTGCCCGAGTCAAGGTAACCAAAGCTGGTTTGTTGTGCCCTGGTCATCTGCTGTGTCTTGGTCATCGGATCCAACACGACAACCAAACCCCGTTGAGTGCTTTTGTTGTGCCCGGGTCAAGGTAACCAAAGTCGGTCATCGGATCCAACACGACAACCAAACCCCGTGGAGTGCTTTTGCTGCGCCTGGGTCAAGGTAACCAAAGCTGGTCATCGGATCCAACACGACAACCAAACCCCGTGGAGTGCTTTTGATGTACCCGTATCAAGGTAACCTACGTTGGTCATCGGATCCAACACGACAACCAAACCTGATCCAACACAGCAACCACACTGCGTGGAGTGCTTTCGATGTGCCTTGGTCATGAATAGCTTTTGCTGCTTTTGTTGTGTCGTGGTGTCTGTCGTACCCTGGTCATCGGATCCAACACGATACCCACACGTGACGGAAGGTTCTCAACACGCGCGCACGAGGCTTTCCTTCCTCGTCGTGTTCGACTCGATCGCACCGTTTCGGCCGTATGGACAATCGATGTCTATCCTGTGATACTGTGTCTGCCGTATCCTGGTCATCGGATCCAACACGATAACCACCTGACAGAAGGTTCTCAACACGCACACACAAGGCTTTCCTTCCTCGTCGTGTTGGACTACATCGCGTCGTTTCGGCCGTCTGGACAACTGATGTGTGTCATGTGATGGTGACTGTTTTGTGCTCTTTCTACTGACCTCTATAATAGTGCATTTGGTGGTCCCGGACTCTGGACTGCCGACTGTTTGGCACAAACTGATGGTTCTCAAACAGAACATCTATGAAAGTGTGAGTAGTCTCATGTGTTGTCTTGCAAAGAGTCACAAGGCGCCTGTTTCGGCCGTCTGGACAACTGATGTCTGTCCTGTGATACTGCCTTTCCTGTGCTTTTTCTATTGTCCTCTATGATAGTGCATTTGGTGGTCCGGATTTTGGACTGCCGACTGTTTGGAACAAACTGATGGTTCTCAAACCGAACAACTACGCAAGCGTAGGTAGTCTCATGTGCTGTCTTGCAAGGCGTCGCGAGGCGCCTGTTTCGACTGTCCGGACAACTGATGTCTATCCTGTGATACTACCTTTCTTGTGCTCTTTGTACCGTCCTCTATGATAGTGCATTTGTGGGTCTGGACTTTTGGCGGCCGACTGTTTGGAAAAAACTGATGGTTCTCAAACAGAACATCTACGAAAGTGTGGGTAGTCTCATGTGCTGTCTTGCAAGGCATCACAAGGCGCCTGTCCCGGCTGCCTCGACAACTGATATCTACCCTGTGACACTGCCTTTCTTGTGCTATTTCTAACGAAAGCGTGGGTAGGCGCCTGTGTCAGCCTTTCGTGTACTCTTTCTATTGTCCTCCATAATACTCCATTTTGTGGTCCGGACCTCGGACTACCGACTGTTTGGCACAAACTGATGGTTCTGAAATGCTGTTGGCGCCTGTTACGACCGGTCCAGAATAGGGACTGCCTCACCCTGTCAAATGTCCTCTACAATAGTGCATTTCATGGTCCGGACTTCGGACTGCCGACTGTTTGGCACAAACCGATGGTTCTCAAATGTTGTTGGCGCCTGTTTTGACCGTCTGCACAACTCGTGTCCGAGTTCATTACCGGTCCAGAATAGGGACTGCCTCGCCCTGTCAAGTCCAAGCTGCGTGGGTAGTCTCCAGTGTTGTTTCACTGAGCGTTCCGTCGTCATCGTGTTCAACACGATAACTCGATAACACGATAACAACGACTGCCTCAAGCTATCGTGGTTGGACGTGTTCGACACAATCGCTACTGCTGGCCCATATGTGTCCGAGTTCGTTAGTATTCCAGAGTACTAGAGACTGTCTCGGCCTGACCGGACATAATGTGCGCAGTGGTCAGGCGTCTACTAATAGTGAAAATGCCTTGAGCTCTTCGGGATAACAGTGAAGACTAACTCACGCTGTCAATTGCCTAACCAAACATATGACTGCAGTGGTATGACCTCTACTAATGGCCTTTTTCGACCGTCTGAAGAATTGGTGTGTGCCCTGTGCTCTTTCTGCTCTGTGTCCTCTATAACAGTGCATTTGGTGGTCAGGACTTTGGCAAGGCGACTGTTTGGCACAAACTGGTGGTTCTCACAGGGCGTTCCATCGTTACTGCTGCCTGTTCTGCATACCAGACAATGCCTCGCGCTATCGTGGTCGGACGTGTTCGACACGATCGCGGCTACTGGTGGCTCATATGTGTCCGAGTTCGTTACCAGTCCAGAATACTAGAGACTGCCTCGCCCTGCAAGTATTATTGTAAGGGACGCGACAACTTTCAGCTTCCCCGGCAGCAGTGTGTCGTCGAAGGCTGTTGTCCTATGGAAGACAGTTGTTTCCATATATTAATAAAACACAATGTCATTATTCGTTGACCATATATGTCCACACTTCGAACTGCCGACTTGTTAGAGTTGATTGGTCATCATGAAGATGTATGGTCTACTGGCGAAACGAAAACAATCCGTTCATATTATGCGTGTCGTCATACCTCGTTTGCCATATTTTCGTGAATATAAAATTTGTTGCAGAACACTATCGTGGCAAGGCTTTCTAAATGGTTATCATGTTAAAAAGATGTGTGATGTACTAGCTAAATGAAAACAATCCGTTCACATTTCTCAACCGATGTTATTGGCATGTGTGTCGTCATACATGGATTGTCATATTTATTGAATTTTGTTTTCTTTTTAGGCCTCTTCGTTTTTCACAACAGCGCTTCGATTGAGTAATCCGTATTCCGTGTCTGACACATGCGTTGAATGATTATTAACTCTTCGTCATATACGTCGCGAGTTCTCGCCTTCAGTGCATTAATGAGCTTATTTGTCCTCGCAGACTCATTATACCTTGCGGCACTTCGTATCGGAGAGCTGAATATCCACCGCTGGCAAGTATGGACTGCGTGGCGTCTAACACATTACTGGATGAGAATTGTCGTGCGGAAATGCACAACCTCGCTACGTGCTCTCCAGATTCCGAACATGTAATTCGCGACGACGTCTTCACTTCCAACACGCCTGCTCGTAAAAGAAAGAGAAAATTAGAAATCGATGTCGCTACTTGCGAGAGCACCTCCCCTGCCGTTCAGCGGCAATGACAGACACATGAATCCAATGTTGCATGTCGTAGAGCTGACGACCGTGACATTGACACTTCAACATCTGATGCGACGTCATTCCTTGTTCATAACGATTACTCGGCACGTGCACGCACATCTAATGCTGATGTGCGTCGTGTAGCTGAATTTCGGAGAGCAATTACAGAACAACCGTCGTTGAAAGTATTGCTTGATAGCCTCATTGACACTACAATCATGTATGTCCGACATCTGCTCTTGCGGGAGTATGAGAGCATAGAAGCGCATGTAGAATACAGAGATCCCGCACATCATGAACGAAATGAAACCACTAGTTTACAATAGATGATAGTTAGCTTGTTATGATGACAATACCGCAACGTAGATCGTTTATTGACTTACTCAATACAAAAATTCTATCAGACTGAGTCCAGATACCATGAACTGGGTTGCTTTAAATTTTGTTATGTGGTTGTTTTTTAAGTGACGATGCTTGAAGATGTACGGGAACCTTGTACGTCATGGACAAAATGTGTCGCTGATCAGTGTTTTGGAAGTTAACTAGGTCGAAAGTATGATCATCACGGTTATCGTACAAGGTTCGAATCTTTCACAGCAAACAGGGGTGCTATCTATCCGGGGACATTGCGAAGGTTTTTTTTGCTTGTGCACTCAGCTTGTTTAAAATTTGAAATTAAAGTGGCAAACTTGGTGAATCAGATGTAAGCGTCGGAGGTCTTTTTGCAAGGCATATGGTAGTCGCATTTTGCCCAACATATTATAAACCTTTCAAAGACAATTTTTCTTTCGCGATCTTTAATGACATGTAATTACTGTCGACAAGAAGTTTTCCTTTATTAACAGCATGAAAGTAATGTTCTTTGTCGGTCGTTGTTATATTTTTCATATATCAAAAATCATCTCCGGCCCTCTCATAAATGTCGTTGACGTCTGTTTTGTCCGTTCCCCGATTTATTTTCGTCTGTTCACTTTTCGTAAAACATTTCATTTTTAACACAAAACAAGTCCGGAAATTTTTCCCAATGTTGCAGAAACTTCCGCAGAGGTTTCGGCGCGTACCCCCTGCTCTGCACTTTTATGAGCCAGTCAGTGACAACCATTTGTTTAATAGAGAATTTCACTTCTGCACGAATCATGGGCGGAGTCAGTTTTCCCCGCCTCCTAACTGCCGAGTTCCGCAATGTCCACAAGGTCCAAAGAATGGCTCCTCTCAGACTCTCTTCAGGGTATGTGAGGGAGTCTTTCCTATTTTGTCATCGAGCCACTGCACCAAGTAACATATACTCATCTCCCCATCTAGTGTCGTGATAGGGGATTGGAACCGTTTCTGATCTCCACCAATCCCACAGTTGCCTTGAGAGTTCACAATGTAAACACATATGTTGCAGGTCCTCAATCCTCATTCTGGGACACAGAAGGCAAAGCGGACTGACCTTGGTTGTACGTCCTGCACACCATTGCGTTGTGGGAACAGCCAAATGGGTCATCAACCAAAGAAAGCTTGCCTGTTTTATTACTGGCAGATCCATAAGTAGTTTCCAATAACGAGAGAAACTTCGTGAGAGCCGAGGGAGAGAATCCTGAATCCATTCAGTAGACATCCATCTTTTGGCCACTACCCAGTCCACATCCACCGTCTGATGGGTGAGGCGATACTCGAGCTTCGTTATGTAACAATACGGCGGAATAATCTTCTGCTGCGTTGTATCAAAAATCCACCCCCAATCCCTGGGATCCAACGGCAACTGGTACGAATGCACCACCAAGGCAAAGGGACGCACTTGGTCTAAATAGTTCAAAACACAGACCGGTGTAAGATCTGACAACTGCGGGAGGAGCAGGATTAGATGATCTCTCTGATGCCACAACCCAGTCAATGTATGTGCCAAAACTTTAAACGGTTTCCAATCCTTTGCGAGAACGTCCCAGATATCTTGCATTGTTCCCAGGCCCCTTATCATCCAAGAGTCCCCGAACGCCCCCCTTTCGAAGCAAGGAAAGAGGACTCCCGCCGGAGTAAGAATCCGTGGGTTGTCAAATAAGGGTTGGGTCAAAATTTTGTTCGTTGTCATGGGAGGGGGCAATAGCGCAGGACAACATTTTCTCCATGCCCTCTTTATCCCCGCCCAGATTCCTTGCGGCACATGCCTTCGTAAGTATGTCGGGTTTTGGACTGCTATCCAGACGCACCGCGAATCAGTCCAATCCCAAGCTGTGAACTATGTATACTCCGCAAGCTGTCTCCATGATACAAATGGTCCTTGCAAAATTGCCCAGGGAACCCATTTGGATAGCAATGCTGTAATTTGACAAGCCGGGTCCAAAATTGGCAATCCACCTACTTTTTTTGGCTAAGTCACGACATCCCAAGCGACCTTTGGCAAGAACGAGGTTGTCGAATTATCCTTTTTCCACAGATAATGTGTGGCGAGAGTTTTAATAACTCGATGAGCCGGCTCATTGAGTTGATGAAGTGCTAATGACATATGATGTCATAGGTGGGGCATATATAGATACGTATTATGAACGTAGCGTCTGATCATCATCATCATCATCAACGTATACATAAGTATAACAGAGTTGTATATATGTAGAGGAGGGAAGACAACAAGAAAATTCCCATATAAAATGAAAGTTGAAAAAACATTCCATAAAAAAAAAATCCTTCATATTTATAATTATCATTCCAATGTTTGTCCAATTCTAAAATTTTCAATTTAATTTGATAAGTTCTCGTCTAAATATGAGCTTTCCCTTCCAACTACATCTGTTTGTTCAAGATGGAATGAAAGTCTGAACGAGTTTATGAAATGTTTTAATTAGACTTTCATTCTACTACAACAAATATTGTCTACTTTAGATTGGATTAACCTGTTTAAAACTGGAAATCCTTACTTAAAATGGCAGTCCAATTAAAATATTTCATGAACTCATCCAGACTTTCATTCCATCTCTATTGAGTTCAAATAAGAAGGGATACCCCATTCTTGGAAGGAAAATTTTCAAGTAAGACGAAAAAATTTAAAATTGGAATGACATTTTTTAAGATGGAATGAAAATTTAGAATTTAGAATGTAATTTTACTCTAGAATGATTATTTAATTTTGAGAAATTTTTATGTTGGAAGTAAAAAAAAAAAAAATTATAAAATAGGACCTTGAAGTCCTACCTTATGAATTTTTTTTTTTTTTTTTTGCTCAATAAATAGATTATTTTTTCCCGCGCATTTTTCAAGGAAAAAATATTTTTGCCCATTATCCCCTCCCGCAAAAAAAAAATTTAACCTATTATCCACAAAAACAATTCACGCCGATTATTTCCTCCAACTCCAGGAACATTCCCGGTCATTATAGCAGAAAGAAAAAGATACTAGTAGTAACCCCGTGAGAGAATAATATATTTATTGAGCAAAAAAAAAAAGATAGGACCACCACCGAGCTTCGATTACCGACATCCTTTACAGAGACAAAAAGAGAGCAAAGTGCTTGAAAAAAAAAATAAAAATAAAAAAATTACCGAACTCCTACAAATCAACATGTGTCACAAGTCATCGTTTGCTGTTCTTTCTCTTCTTCCTCTCTGCCTACGGTTTAACAGCCAGCTCCTTTTAACGATATATATTCATATACATATATGCCTGACTGTTTGGTCTAGTATATCCATATGTATATATATGAGATATATGACTATATACATATATACAGGGTTTGCCAGGCCGAACGTACGGAGGCCCCTAAGCTGACCCCCGGACGTTCGGGCATTCAGGTTCCCGTACGGGGCCCGAACTTAAAGGGGTTCGGATCCCGCAAAAAAATAATTTTGGTACCTAAAAATTATTATTGTTTCCTGAATGTTTTCTTGTGAGTTCTTTGTTATGTAAGCTACCTGCCTGTTAATTTTGAAGGCATTCTGTGAAGCAAAAAAATAATGAAAAATCGGCAAAGATGGTGGTGTCAAAACTTGCTTGCCCATTTACTAGTTTTTTTTTTTTTTTTTTTCACTTTTTGTTTTTCCTTCATTTCGGGGCATGAAAAATATTATTATTTTTTAAAAATTGATTTATAGATTCTCTATTATGTAAGATACATATGCATAAAATTTCATGGTATTTGACAAAGCCAAAAAAAAAAAAAAAAATCGTCAAAGATGGTAGTGTCAAAAACGTGCTCGTCCACGCAATAATTTCGTTCTCGTTTTATTTTTTCTGATTTTCATTAATATTATTTATTTTTTGTATTTGATTTTTATTTCAAATTGGGTAAAGAATTTGTATGTATTGTTGAGGCAAATGTTGTTTAGTTTATTCTTCTGCATCACACATGTTTTTTTTCATATTTTTTGGAAACTTTTTTTTTTTTTTTTNTTTTTTTTTTTTTTTTTTTTTTTTTTTTTTGGTCCGCGTTCGGTCGAATGGCCGAACGCATCGAGAGGGGGTCCCGAACGTTCGGGCGTTTGGGTTCGATTGTTCGGCCCGTCCCAAGCGCCGGCAACCCTGCATATATATATATATATATATATATCATGAAACAGAGCAGCGCGATAAACCATAGGCAGAGAGGGAGAAAAGGACAACAAACGATGAGCTATGACATATACTGTTTTGTTGGAGTTCATAGACTTTTTCGTCGGAGCTTCACAAATGAAGACGACAACTCATCGAGAGTTTGAACCCTCTACAACCTTTTTCGGCAGAGTCCCCTAACTAAAGGATGGTATTAAAAGTGATAATCCACCTTGACCCCATTCGGTTAATCCAACGACTATCGGATAAATGATAACCCTGTAAGGAGATGGGCATTAAAAAAGAAGAGGAAAAAAATAAAAAAAAATAAAAAAAAAATAATGAGTTACAAGTTCGATGATCCACCTTGATCCCATTCGGTTAATCCAACGACTGCCAGACAAATGATACCCCTTTGAGGAGGTGGACATCAAGAAAGAAGAGGAAAGAAAGAAAAAAATAAAATAAAAATTAATAAGTTACAAGTTTGGACCGATGTTCTGATACAAAACTTTCGTAAATACTTTTTTTTTTTTTTAACGTAAATATATTTTCGTGTCCTTTTTACTTTTAATTTGAAAAAGATTATTAAAAAAAAAAATCACTGCAGATATGTAATAGTAGAACAGGTTCTTAAATATTTCTCCTTGTTGAACTTTACTGTTAAGAAATACTAATAAAGATCTATTCTTTTTTTTTTTCCCCTTCCGTTAAAATATGGGAATTGGAATTATTATTAATATTAATAATATTAATATTACTTTTCCTAGCACGTTTTTTTATTTCGATCGCCTCTCCCCAGAACTGACTTTGCCATTTCCCACAGTAGTCCGCC